ACCTACTAACACTGTTCATTGCTCGAGTACGACGAAATGACTGGCTGCCAGTGCCCAGGAAGCAGTATGTAGTTATAGGGATTGGAAGAAGGAATTGTGAGTTAAGCACATTTCGAGTCCTTGGTTATTAGATGCTATAACCAACAGTCCAAAATAACAGCAATCCCTGGAGAAAAACTAAACGTGTGACACCCGCTGTCTAAGTGTATGCTTGAAGTCTGCATAGTTAAGAAGTAAAACAACCATAGTAAGATTTGTAATGTCATCACTACATGAACCCGTTGTGTATGTCTGTCATATGGGACACAGTAGTAAATGTCATTTTTATAGGAACACATTAGGTATGTGTGTGCTACATGACTGTTTTGTATATATCTGTACTGCATGACATCATTATACATTTGCTGTTTTCCATGATTCGCCTTTTTTATATGTGTTGCATTAAATGATCTTATCGTACTCAGTGAACCCACTGTGTGTATGTGCGTTTACATATTTTCATCTTTTAAGTTTTAGCAATGGAACTGTTCTCTGCGGCGAACTGGAACCATTTGCCAGACTGATCATTCATTGTAAGTGTGGTGTGTCACTGGGGAGTGGAATGTAGCACGAGCGTGACAGATTCAGATGATGGATGATCTGGCTCAAAAAGGGGGAGGGGTACTAGAAGCAGTCGCAAACCTTGTCATTTTATAAAACCGATGAATACAGTTGAATTATGAATATTATTTCTGGCTTCTAACTCTCAATCATCATTTGGTGCTAGCCCAGGCGGAGTACTCAGCCTTAACGCTTATCTTTCCCATCCTCGCTCTTGTATATATAGATATACAAACATATCAACCCACACGAGGCCGCCACTGTTTCCCACCTATGGCTTTCTGCACGCTTTTTGACTTTTTGTAACACTTTCTTTTATAATCGCTTGTTACGAAACTGTTGCACACATTACATAACTTGCAATTAAAACTACTATTTACTTAAAACAGATTTACTCAGTTTTCAGTTATTGATCTGTACGGATGTTAAATAAAAGCCTAACTTGCAAATACTTTTTCTAATTTTCAAAGTCGGTAATTTAGCGAAAATCGTTTTTGATGTTTTGTGGATTTCTTAACAATTCCTCATCGGTCCGTTTACATTATTTTTGTATGAATGTGCTTGCAATTATATACGCAGTTTATATCGGTGTAATAACTAAAGTATAATTTTCTAAAGCATTTCATATGAAACTTCGTCATGTCTTTAATAAATTACACACATGTGTAGAGCACACAATCGTTTTGTTTACACAATGCGTTTAATGCTAGCCTGGAAACACAGCGAGGGGTGATCGATTTACTCGTAGAACCAAGCAAAAGTTGGAAAAATAAATACACATTTTTCTAAATTCTCACTCTTGTGACTAAAAGATAAAATAATAATTAAGTATATTGTTTTTTCACCTGTTATTTTAAAAAATATGATGATATTAATTATATGCATACAATATACGCATTAATTATTTTGCCTCGCTTTGTAATTGTTAAATGCGCCCTGTAGCCTCGCACCCTTGACGTTATGAAAATACAATTTGGCTTTATTAGGTTTTTTGTGTTGTTTTCGAATGCAATCAATCATAGAATATTTTTAATACATCGAACACAAAGACAGGTATAAATGTAAATTTGATATATAGGGTTTTATTATTATTTAAAAAAAATGATTGCATTAATAGGCATGGAGGGGAACATTTTTTTTCTTTTAAACGGAACGAAGGCTGTATAACTTTATGGCCTATTAGAAATGTGCTTGAATTGTGCAATAAGCTCCAATTACTATAAAATCACGTTTTATTCGTACGTTGAATTCATGAAAGAGAATATCTCAGGCTTATTAAACAAGCTGATTTACCTTTACGCTGTACACATTGGAGATGGTTAAGTCCCCCACATTGATGATAGGCCTTGAATTTTTGGCTCGACAAAGTTACACGTAGTTAGATTTGTATCTTTTAACGACCTTGTTTCCCGCCTGATGTTTTATGTTTGAACTTTAGCTGTACTATTTTCTCACTTTCAAGGGCCAGCCCTAGTGGTTTGTGCTGAACAATTGTTTTATGATGTTCCTTGTAACGAGCAAGAAATGCCCTCCTCGTTAAGAGTTCTTCATTGTCCATTGCCGCTCTCAGACTGCACTTTGTTGTCGAGAGAGCATGCTAAATTGTAGTGCGAAGCTGATGATGAGCTTCAAATGTTAATGATTAGCGTAATCTTCTGTCTGTTTCATTACTGGTGTGTCATTAGCTCCCAAGACTAAGTTGGTGTCATTTGGTTCCCTTGCCGAGCCTAATGGCCTTGCTGATTTGGACTATGAATGGTATATAATACAAACCAGTCTGTGGGAGAGAAGTAGGGATGTGATTCCTCAATTCCATAATTTCTTACAGAGCGCATTATTGGCTTGATAAGTATCAAGTTAAAGATTCAGCATATTTTGTTGCAGACAATTATTTTTATTTGTCTAAAAGTTGGAAATGTTATAATAAAAAGTTGTATTGGTAAGTATTGAACTAGACGAATTATTCGTCCAATGATAATAAGAACAACTATGAAAATAGTGTCATCTGGTGAGAGGATAAGCACATAGTCATATGAAATGATTCCTAAACGAAAGTCAGATCAGAATATTTTGTTTTTCATAAAAATATAAAAGTAACAGATATTACATGAAATTAAATACTTATTCCACATTTAATTATATTTCCAAAGTGAACTTAATAAAGGGCTGTATTCTAATGTATGCTTGACTACAAGTTAAATATAAGCATTTACAGCAAAGTTTTAGAAGTAATTACCATTTAAGAGTCTCCAGTTTTGGCACATTTTCAAAGCTTTACTTATTACTAACATAAGGCGTAATAAATATACAGCCCCCAACTCACCTACGGTAGATTATCGGCAAGTCTAAGCTGGGGGACTTCTAACGCTAAACTTTGAGCGTGTTTGTCATAAAAAAAATACTTGTATAATAAACACCAAGTTTAGCCAAAAAAGCAGAAATAAGCAATATGAAAAATGCTATTATTTTTAGCTTTGTTGTATTTAAAATATAAAAATTCGTAAACATATACTTAATTAATTTTACTTTTTGATAAAAGAAAAATAAATACATAGATCACAGCTTAAATAAATGCCTGATAATAAGCATAAATAATTAAATATAATGTTCAAACTATATTACTTATAATAATTGTTTCATCACTTGGGAACCCTTGTTGATAATGATGTTTTCGGCCGTAAACCCAGCTATATCTAATGAGGTTTGACAAGGGCAAAGGTTAGTCCTAAATCCATATACAAAGTTAACAATGCAGAATAATCATTATAATATTATAATAAACTTAAAAGTAAATTACAAATAATAAAAAGTAAAAGTAAATATGTTACACTATGTGTCCGCACTGTGATAAACGTTTAATTAATTTAGGCTGATATCCAGATAGGAACTATCACACCGTCGTTAAAGTCATGCTTGGTTTAGCTATTCTGGTAGATTTAGTTTAGTTCTAAATCCAGAAACTAAGCTATCAATGTGAAATAATCTTTCTGATAAACAATATAATTTGAATTAGTATTAGGTGTAATAATGATTATAGTACAATTAAAAACATTGAAAATATAATTAGAAATAAAAAGTAGATATATTAAATATTCTAACCAACCCTCTGTCCGAAAATAAAGATGAAAAAAGTGGTGATTTGTATAAAACATACACTACCCTCTGCTTGGTATTAATAAACAAACTCTGTATTTGCTTTGTATTTTTTCTTAAAATACATTATGCAAGTTGTTTTATGGTATTCAGTTTCGATTAGATACGAGACAGCCGTATGCGAATTATATGAAAATGAGCTAATAATTCTGTGCACACATATACATGAACATACATACACATACATATACATGAACTTACATTTATGTAACATGCACGCATGAATATAAGAAGCCTCATTTCTTCGAAGTTCAACTCTCGAGAGTGTTACTTATCAGTTGTAACGAATTAAAATTTTGTATTTTATTAGCTGCACGAAAGTTCTCCAGCTTCGTCGATTCAGCCCAAGCCTATTCTCTACACACCTTCTAGTAATGCGACCGAGTTAGGGGTTCTATCCCCGAACCTGTCCCCCTAGTGCAGGATGAGAGTAAATGGCAAGATGTCTGGCCGTTTTTGATAAAGAATCCAGAGCCGATCTCCAACCACATAAGGCAGCATGTTGTTTCTGCGCTCTGTAGTATGGTCGCAAGTCACACTTAATACTGAGGACTAACCTTATGACCCCTTCTCGTGAAGTGAGGGATATTTATCTTGACCTTGTGTGACAGTTGTGTATATTTAGAATGTACGAGATGAAAGCTGAGATCTATAACTTCAGAAAGAGCACATGTTAGGGCGATTTTTACTCTCGTCACCAGGGAATTCTGTCAATAATTATTTTGGCCTTTACCTATTTGGCGAATTTGTAAACCAATTTAACATTGCTCATTGTAGGTGGTTTTCCTGTCGTATACAAATGGAACTAAATGGGTTTGGGGGCTCATCAAAATCGTTTAGAATAATGCTTTAAAATATGTAGCAAAAAGATAGTACTCCTACTGTCTCAGTTCAAAGGCTCGTTCTACAAAAATCATCGAACTCTAATGAATAAAATTATTTTACTTTTGACATTGTTTACCAATTACAAATAGTGTTCTGAGATGTTGACATACTATTGTTATAGCTATCCTGAACTGTCTCGTGAAGACTGATAAAGCTGTTGACCCCATGAACACGCGCAGAGCTCTTTCTGTTCGATATTTTAAATTAAAATATTTACTTATACATACATATATATATGTTCGGATTAAATATTTCAGCAATAAGAAAATTTTTTATTTCTTATATTTTAGGTATACTTGAATGCCAGTTTATATGTTATTTTACCGTTTCATTAACTCTGAGATGAGATTTTCATATATGTATGTATGTGTGTGTGTCTATATATATATACACACACACACACATGCAAATACATATACATACATACATATATTGAGGCAGGGGAAGGCTGAGATGAACTCAATTTTTAAGCATGATTCTCATTCTCTTCTTCCTTGGCAGTAAATCATAGGAATTCCTCCGCTGCCTGGGTTCAAATCACTTTCAGTGCTCTCCAAAATAATGGTACACGATCTGTACAGAACATGAAAAAGTACAGTTCCTGCGAATCGGCTCGTAAATTAAAGCATCTGTCAAGACCAGCCTAGGAGCTGGCTAGCCAAGTCGAACACTCTGCGAGGCAGCACAAGTGCTTCATTATATCTGTCATAACCACCTGACTCGAGTTCTATAGACAGGCCTGTCTGGTCCTCCTATGATTTGGCCTATGGTGAACGTTCCTTCAACTCCATCTTAGCTATGTAGAGGTTTTGTCTCTGTTTTGATCAACCAACAGACAGACAACCATTTAGAAACATTCTAAAATGAGAAACTTAAAAGAAAAACTAGTATTACATTTTCGCTGTTGTTATATTTACGATGAGAAACATATTATTACTTTTCTTTAAAACTGGCTTAATATTTATTTGACAGATCAGATTGGAAATAAAAAACAACAACACAGTTTTACAAAATAAACCATTTATTCAAACATTCGGAGTCTCTTCAACACTACTAGAAAAGCGGACTTCTGTCAAAGTTAGACAGACGTTCATGTAATTTCTGATATTTGTGTAAATTGAATGATTGGTTACCTCGCAACATTTTCCATACGCTCAGAAATAGTAATAGTTTCAGAAAATTATATTCCACAACATTTATTTTATTTAACTAATACACCTTTTATAGCATATTATTGTTACATTCCTAAACCTACTGAGTAATGTGATTATCATATTTCTTCCGAAAGATGTAATCGCAAATATTTTATTTATACACTTTGCCGATTTAGTTTTGCAAGTAATTTATACACTGAAAGCTGGGCTATGCTGAGAAACTATATATTTTTGACTAAGTACAAAAAGACTGAAGTTTATTCTCATAATTCTAATATACTGGTAAATATAGAAGCTTGGATACCCTTCTTAAGAAACTTGAATTGTGTTCCTTATCCACAAGCAATGGATATTGAACTAAAGACAGAAAATTAATATAAGTTACTTTTTGATTATGTACATAGTTCTTTTATATTTAATTAGTTAACTTAAACAAATCTTCGTGTATTCGTTAAAAGATCGCATTTTTTACTTACACTCTAAGATGGTTTGAACACATGCGTCACATATAGTGCTAATCCTCAAATTATAGATTTAGTTATGTACCATTTACTATACCGGTGGGGTCAACATGTTCAGTCCTATTATTATACCCACTGTAAAGAACGGATCACTCATTTACCATAGAATATACCTTGGAAATCCCAGCGATAATTAGTGACTTTATATGCTATTAGGAGCCCTCGAACTCCCAAGTCATAGACTCATAAGCAGTTTGATGCATAAATATAAACAGATTGTAAAAATATGTTTAAAATGGATTTAAAAATCCAATGGTTTCAATTGGTAATTCTAAGGTTATCACTTCTTATGACATCGTGACAATGTTTAGTAAGAAAGAGTAATCTAAAGAGGTATAAAAAACACAATAAAACCGTTGTATTTTCTGTACTTAACTCCAGTTTTCTAATGTTTTTACCAAGCCAACACTTGTTATCTTGTGCAGAGAAGAGCTTCAATCTTGACCTGCTAGTGTACTTCATGTCAGTTGTCGCGCGCCCTCTTTTGTCATAAAATAAATACTGTAAAAATCACGTTTTGAGTTGTAATAAGTCTCGACAGATGATACTTATAGGTGTCGTGCATGTAAATATGTGTAATGATTATTGAAATATATAGGATTATTGCAGGGAAACGCATAGTTTAATACTGATGAAACTTTATTTTATATAAGAATATAATACAAATGTTCAATTAAATGCACAAGGTATTTTATGACTGAATATCAATAGTGTCTAAATGTACAATATTGTTATAAGTGAACATCTGTGTGATTAAATGTGGAACGCGTTTATGAAGGAACATTTGCAGTGTCTAACTGTGCGGTGCTTTTACATATTAATATATGCATAGCAAATGTTCAATGTGTTTTATGAATTAACTTCCGTAAAGCCTAAATTTGTAATATGTTATTATCAAAGAACACCTGCGTGGTTAAAATGTTCATTGTGTTGTATGAATGAACAATATGTGACTACATATGTAACATATGAGCATTTACATTGACTGAGAGTGTACTCTGTTCCATCAATAAGTTTAATTTTACTAGATGGTATGAACAGGTGTAGGTGGGCAAGTTTAACTCCTCATTGCACTAAATATACAGGTTATAACATGACTTGATTGTCTGGTGTACGCTTGACTCACTTGAATACTAGTAAGCGTATTCTATGCACTGAATAGTCGATGCATCAAGCGCGCCTTGCCGGGTCTTGAGCTGCTCCCTTCCAGTCATGCCCGTCACTCTCCCCTGCCATTGTTGACTGTGTGTGATCGGATCCTTCTTGATGGAGTAAATGAACTGTGAAAGCAGGGCAAGAGAAACGAGCAGCGGAGCGAAACATGCAGCCTGGTCTCGGCTGCATGACGTGGCCAACAGTGCTCATGTTACAGGCAGACAACTACACAACCACAGTAACTCTTGCGTCTCCCAGGAGACCGGCCATGTTGGCTTGTCCCTGTTGGTCAAGAAAAATCGGCTCGAATTTACAACGGCATGTGTCATTTTACAACTTTGACCGCTGGCTCTTTACAATAAAAGCTATTATTTAATTGTTTCTTTCGTCTGTCTACAGAGCATACTATTAAAATTTTTAAAAATATAGATTAAAGCATGATATAAGAGTCTGTGTAGAAAAAAGTTTGTTTCCGATCTGTCACTAATAATCCAACAGAGAGAAATCGACCACAACTAGGTAAAACTAGGATCTATTTTATTTAATTTGTAAATATGTCACAACCATTGTGTTACGTCGTTTTAAGTACGTCATAATTTATGTGCTAAGTATTTTTAAGTATGTCATCAATTCTTGTGCTATATCTTCTTAACTATGTTATAATCTGTGTGCTAAGTCTTTTTAAGTATGTTATCAATTATTGTGCTAAATGTTCTTACGTAGTCATAATTTATGTTCTAAATATTTTTAAGTACGTTATTAATTATTGTGCTATATCTTCTTAACTATGTTATAATCTGTGTGCTAAGTCTTTTTAAGTACGTTATGAATTATTGTGCTAAATGTTCTTATGTATGTCATAATTTCTTAAGTACATGATAATCGGTGTGCCACGTCTTCTTAGTACGTCATCAGCCTGTTTACTATATCTTCCCTATGGTTTTGTATATAGTACCAAAAGTGTGGAATAATTGTTTTTTATGCCACTGAACCTAGCACGTGTATGAAAAACGAAAACGTTTGTTTTCTTCTGTTATTTTCTGTTTGAACACAACTTCGTCTTGGGAAACTTTTTCGGATCATTTGGTAGATCTGGAAATTTTTTTAACTGAAGACGTAAAACAAGAGTTAGTAACAAGTAGTATAGAAGTTTGTTCTGGATGTAATTGGCTTAGATGTAGATCAAATGGTAGAAATGGTTCGTCTATGTAATGTACACTACTTTGAAGATTGGGCGGATTCTTGCAACGCTAAAAGTTATGCCTGAGGCTGAGTTGTAAGCACAAGTTGTAAATATTTTAGTGTACGCCTAAAAGCTATACATATTGCGTAAATCTGGTTTGTTGCTGTACTAAATTGTTAAATAACTAGTACATAGATAACTTGTTGAAAATTCCAATTACTTCAAGTACAATATCTGAAATTTTACATACCAAGTTTACAGCTTGTTTTATTGTACAAATAACGACCCGACTTGAAACAGTAACATTGGCTAAAGAGTATTTCAAGCTCCTTTGCTGTTAATTTTTACAGTTCTCCAGATAAGCTCGGGAGGTCAAACGTTACGAAACACATCACCTTGCATTAGGTGTTGAGCTAGATGCATTGGAGAACAAATCGTATCAGACCATTAGCACTGAACAAACCCAGCGGGCCAATCACTGGGGACGTTTTGGCTAGTTGTACTTCTTGCTTTCAAATGATGCAAGGCAGGCTGCTTTAATCCTGTTTAGGGAATTGACTTGCGTAATTATTTCCCCATCTGACAAAGGCAGCTCGAGGTAAGAGCAGGCGTTAAGAGCCCATGCTTGTATCGTGCTGCTTTCACGCGGAGAGTAGTTTTCTGTTTCATTAATCCCCCGCACCATTATTCATTTGTGTGTAATTTACTCCAAGGTGAGCAACAGCATGGTTACAGAGGCAGCGAAAGAGTGACTCACAAAATGGCGATCACCCGTTGCCGCCTGAATGGCTACTTATCCGCAAGGACTACGCTATAGGTATTGATAGTTGATGCCAACCAATTTATCAGCTGTTGGAGGACACAAAGAATAACGCTAGACTGGCGTATAATACTACTCTCTCTCCATGTTTTAAAGAAAATATAAAACTTGAGCGCTAAGATTGTTCTTTGTTTGAAATGTCTAGTCATGATTATTTTTTATTATAAATTGTCAATATCATTGAATATTTGAGCTGTAAGAGGACTATCTCAAGAATAAACTGTGTTTGATCGTGAGTATATTGAAAATAATTTCAGATTATACTTGAAAAAAATACATATATATATTTTGCAATCCTAAAAAAAAATCATTGTAACGACGAGAAAATATTAGCTGTGTTTCGAGCTGATGATGTATGACAATCGTTATTCGTGGCAGTTTCGAGGGAAGAGCGATTTTTATTAGCCTTTTATTTCCAGTATAGCCATACAACTGGCCAGAAATATGATTATAGCTCACGCATGGAAGGGAGGTTTTCGAGTTTGTGCATTTTTACCATACTGATGCTCTTCTAGGAAACCAGATGGACAGATATCATTGAGTATCTTGAAAAATACAGAGTAATAATAATAATGTCCATTTTACATGGCTTGTGCTAAAACGACCTAAAACTTTTTCAAATGGTGTTTCAGTTTTTGTTTTTAAAGAGTAATATAGAAAAATGTAGAATAATTTAGTGAACCTTTTGACCGATCTCTAATTTTAAAATACTCTTTACAGGGGGTTTCAGAACGTGTTTTCGATAATTTCAGGTTTTTCAAGAAGTTTTAGTGTTATATCACTGCTTCACATAATATTGTGCCCACCTAATTTTTATAACATTCTTTTTATAGAAACCTACAAATTCCCCTACCTCCCTTTTCAAACCTTAAAGTAAACTACCATGTTGTTCTAGCTTGCGATTTCAACACAGGAAGCACATAGCGCCGTGAAAAATGTTTTGATGTGGTGCTGTTGTCTCCAAACGATGACCAAAACATTTCCCCCAATATACATGGAAGTTACGCAATGTTGCTCAGAAGAATCAACGCGACTACCACGCCCTCTAATTTTAGATCTAAAAAGTATTTTTAGACTCCACTTGTACAAACTACCAACGTATATGCGTTTATGTGCAACAGGTATCCTATTTTTCTTATATTTACGTACATATACATACAAACTCATACAAATATATATCCACGTTTTTTTTTGTGTGCGGAAAACATAGCAACTTATGCCACAGAACGTGTTGCTTTTATTGAACGTTCATTCTGTGCACAGCACATACACAACGTTATTTTGATGAACTTTGTAGAAAATGCGTTAAAACACTGTTGATTTTCTTATTGCTTCAAATTATGCTCCTATTTTCCCGTCATTTTATTGATCGCAGTTTATAATTTTGATATTTTATATATTAAATGTGTATGGCTCAATTCAGGCCTTCTCGTTTAAGAGAAAATCGGTATTTGTCATAACACTATCCCATAAACACACACTTACGCTGAAGAGTTTATTGATTTATTTTGAAGTTCATTCGTAATACACACACACACAGATATATATATATATATATATATATATAAGTACAACTATAATAATAATAAAATAATCGGTGTTAAAATAAATGAATAACATTGTGTTATTAATCTTTACCCTCATTCTGATTTGTTAATGAATCATACAAGCTGATAAAGATTCTGATTCGCCAACTTAATCTAATTCACACTGTAACAAGCATTATTAATGAAACTTTATATCATAAACCACTAACGGATCTGTTGTATTCCAGCCGCTAAGTCGCAAACTTTTATTGGTAAATAATGCACTTCCTCTAAAAACAAGGTTTTACTTTAACATTTTTCGTGTAATTACTGTAGATTATTTTAATACTGTTTTCGAGAAACACAAAATAATTCACTGAATTTTTGTTGTTTTGTGTGTGTGTGTATATTTGCTTAACTGAAAGAAATATTTTACAAAGCGTGATGTCAACCTCATCTAATGAAAGTAAACGTTCTTATAAAAAGGATACAAAAACACAGTTCTTTTTATGGAAAATAAGTTTCACAAAATGTTCTGTGTTTCGATGAAAGAAACTCCATATGCAGTCTCATAAAATTACTAAAGTATCCGTTGGCTAGCAATGGCCAGTGCCCCCTGTCGACTTTACATTGATGCTCTCCTTCAGCTGGTCTCTGGCGTTAGGTTCCTCGAAGCAATTCGATGCTTCCTGGCCTCGACATGTCAATTTTTCACCCAAATCCTTAGGAAATTCTCTCAAGCGTCATTGGCGGAAGTACCGAAAATATCCTGCCGTTCCAGTCTGTGGCTAAAGTACCAAGCAAGTCAGCTGATCATCTTCATGTCACCAGCGTCGGTTCGTTGATGGCAGAACTCAGCGTGCAGCACAGACATTAGGCTGGCAGTCGAACGAAATGGCAATTTTCTGAAGAACATTATTTTTCTGGATGGCCCACTAAAGTTGAAATTAAAATTATAAATTTTTCAGGAGTAAAAGAAGTGACTTACGGAGAAGAAGAAGAAAATTAATTATAATGCTGAATGATAAAGGAAAACATTGACTGAAATTTACTACATGTGTAAGACAATGTTTTCTATATGAAAATGAACTTTGAAAGTAATTTTTAATTTTATCTAACGCAAAGCCAGAACTCAATGTGTCGCAAGCTATCGGAAGAGACTTTCTGGTTGAGCAGGGCCGTCATGCAAAAGAGCGAACCACGCGGATAAAACTGGTGGTGCTCACGTTTCTGATTATAATGAGACTTTCAGCCGTAATTTGTCATTTGTTACATACAGCATATACATAAAGTTTATTAAAGCCACGTATTAACAGTATAATAGATATTAAGTATTCATATATATAACTTAGTCGCCTGATCAACTCGGTTTTTCCTCTTTAATGCTAAGTCTGATAATTATATAAAAATGCTTAACGTTTGCCCTGAAAATAGAAAACAAAAAGAACCATGATCTTATTGTAGAACATATTTATGCACCTGATGGCTCAGTGGTAAGCTTGAGGAATTATAACGCTAAAATTCGAGAGTAAAACCGCGAGTTAGGCACAGCACAAATAGACCATTGTGCAGCTTTGAGCTTTACAACTAGAAGCAAATAAACAATCCATCTCATCTTATAGCTTGGGCTATTTAAAAAACACGACGTTTTATACTTTCTTATTTATTTACGTTATATATATATATACATAGAATTCCCCTACATAATTTATCATTGTCGTTAATTTTAAATATTTTCATACTGAAGGGAAGTAAATATTATATGATGCTTAAAATCAGTGAGTATTATTTTATGTTATAAGAAGGTAATTATGGATTTTACCCAGCAAAGTTAACTTGGTTATGTTTCACGTGTATTTTTTGGTGGCAAATTTTGTTTACAGATCTATGTCCTGTATACAAAGATAGATATGCATGGAATATAAGAAGAAAATAAGCCATTTGTTTAACAGACTGGTAAAACAAGCAAGTAAGACCAAGATGCAACTTAAATTAAACAAGATGTATGTATATGTACATATATGTATGTCTGTGTATACGAGTTGTCTCTACTCGGCTACCAACAAACCTCTTTCACCAGAAATCCCTGTGCAGTACTTGACATATATAAAAGTGTATTGGAAAAATTCCATTCTGATCGTGCCAGTCATATTCATGAACATTATCTCGTGCATAGCCAAGGGGTCATTACGTTATCCGCTGTATGCAGCAATCACTTCCAGGGTGAATGCCTGTAGACTCCTTTCCCTGTAGGGAGTGGCTATTTTTCTGGGACTAATGGCCCACCATATCACTCCCTACGATTGTGGCTTTGCGCATAAAGAAGATGAACGGAAAACCACGTCTTCTTTACCGCAGGCGGGATTGTATCATGCTCATATCTCTCTGTCAGCATAGACTTTTCAAAACTGTAATCACATATTCAAGTTGGTTATATATAACGCAAGATATTTTGAAGCTGGTGATTTATAACGAATACAGGATAAATCTTGAGTGCCAATCACTTGAAAGTGTGATGTAACAATTATACACTTTATGTAATATTGATATAAATTCAAACATTAAACGCACATACGCGTATGTGTTTTTTCAGTATAATTATGTATCTTTACATTTGATCATGCAAAATCAAACCGCAATGATACGTAAATATGTACTGAACAAAACAATTTAAGGATAATTGGAAGTTATAAGGCTTAAGCTATGATAGAGTTAAACCACTATTAAAAATAATATCAGTCATCCCTCAATATGGAAATAAGGTATCTGCTGAGCAGTTATGTAACCTGAAATACGAATGATGGCTCATTTAATCTACCCTCTTAAATGAACAGTTCGTAGGGGTAGTTTTCACATCTTTACAGTTTTGAGATTTCATTTCAGTATCAAGTATGGTTAACTCTTACACCAATGTCCGACTGTCGCCGATATTGTACTTCTAAAATCAGTGTTGCTAAGGTTCTAAGGTATCCT